GTATTAATTTTTATTTCATATTTTTCAGGTGCAGAAAAGCCAACTGAGACTGAGGGCGTTATTATTACTGTTATTTATTACATAATGTAATTAAGAATTTGTATCTTTTATATTAAAACAATAAACTGAATATTTTATTATGGAACATTTTTTTCTAATTATAATAATTATGGAATACTACTACAAATTTTATTAAAAATTACTACAATTTGAATGAATTTTTACTATTTATTGTGTGAAATTTTCGTATTTATTTTCATAAAACGCAATACATTTTTAATATAAATTCATACAATGAATAGCAAAAATTATAACAATTTGTAGAACAATTCTTATGATGCATTTGGATCTTTTTACTAAATATTGTAGATAATAACTCTACAATACATTCTCCACAAATATTTGGAAATTTTTACTACAAATTGTCCCTGTCCCTATATGTACTATTTATTGTAGAGAAAAATTCTACAATTGTAGAAATTTGTTCTACAATTTTTTTTCCGTGTTGGATTAAAATAATCTCAACACTAGAAACATTTAAGTTAATGTGTATAGAGGACAATTTTTCAAGAATTTCCAAGTTATAATCGGTCAAATAAGTTAGGAAAAAAAAAATATGTATTTTATTGAAACCTCATAAACTATGATTCGGTCAAACAGACGGATTTATGGCCGAAACTGGGTTTGAAGATCGATGAGTGGTTCATGGAGTCCTATGATAAATGCAACATAGTTAGATATAAGACTAATCTAAAAAACGAAAATGTAATTAGAAATGACATAGATATGAAGATTGGGTTAAAAAGTAGCTGGATTGAAGATGAACCTTGTAGGATACAGAATCAGACAGACAGATAATATACACACTTGATATTCTAGAGACCATGACGACCTTAGACTTAGTCTAAGATGACGACATATTACACTGAATACAAACGAATGGAAACGTCAGAAGTAGGTGTATGTAAAAAAAATTGACGGAACAAAGTTGATTAGCTAGATTAGTAATTTATGTCAGTGACTCAAGAAATGTGATATGATAAGTTTTTAGAATTATAAAGATTTTAACGATAATTTGACATTATGTATCTGTAAAGTGGGAAGGGTTGGTTACTCCACAGTACTTAAGTTTCATAATGCCATTGTGCATCCTCCAGGGACATATAGAACCTGCACCACTTGCTGAGTTCGGGCAGCTCACTCTGTGTACGCGGAGTCACTCTATCGCACTCTGCCGCCTTCAAATTACAATCGTCAAAAGACCCACGTTAACTCTATTACATTCAAATTAGATCGAGCAGAGTACATGGAGTTAATTATCCTACACCACCTCGGCGAGGCATGACTCTGGAGCAAGCTTGCGCAGTAATCAATACCCGTTCGTTGGTTTGCGATTTGTGGATATTTATCTATTTTTTACCTCTATGTTGTGAATGCGTATCTAAAATTTTATGTTGCTTTGCAATTTTTAATAATTGTGGAAATATCTGCGTTAGACCACAATGTCTATAAAAGGAAGCGGTATATCAGAAAACGATAAAATATTGAGAAAGAGTATGATTTCTTGATCTTAGTAGAATTTTTACAGACAAATGAAACGTCTTTGGTAGTATCGGTCGATTATATTTTTATCTCAGAACTACATATGTTTCCGAATTAAAACCTTACCTTTCGGTGAAATAATAATTTTAATGGTTTAAAAAACATATTAGGGACATAACAAACACTTTCAAATGTTCAAGGACGAAACCCATCTTTTTTGTTTCTAATAGTGTGTGTGTATATACATGGGATCTTAATTTCTAAACATATATAGTGCTGAAATAATAAAAATATAATCGACAGATAATACCAAAGACGTTTTATTTGTTTATAAAAATAAATTATTGCTTATTAAAGAGAATATTTCTCTATTAAAGAGAATCTCAAAAGTTGCTGGTTTCAGAGAAAAATTAAATACAAATTGATCATAATATTCATATTGGTAATGTGTTTTCGACACAATTATAAGTTTTTTTCCTCGTCATCGTCTAAATCAAAACCATTTTCTACTGCAAATTTCACAATCCACATTAAATAATTTCTTTCAACGGAAAACGCAAAAATAGAGTTAATTAATTATTTCCAAGTTCCTAAACACAAGTAGCGTTCAAATTAATCCAATTAACTCTTTTAACTCTGATTTTACGTTCCCAAAATTTACTACTGCTCTAACTCTACTCCGAGTTTTCCACCCGAACTCAGCATTTACTTTTCACAACCTGCTGGTTGTCACTGAAAGATGTCTAGAGACAGACAGCTTTCTAGCTCATCAAAGTCCTGCGTCAAAAACCTACTGGTTGATGCTGAGGGGTGTCTAGAGACAGCCATTTTCTTAGCTAGTCAAAGTCCTGCAAGTTAATAGGGATAGCCAGGGATAACAGGGATGTCTAGGGATAGCCAGTCTCTCAAGTCAAAGTCCTGTAGATTAATAACGTCTTTAGATGCGGTATTTTTAGGAAATTGCTATTTGGTGGGCGCCATTCTATCCATCCGCTCCACATGGCAAATAGTTGATATTATAGTATAAGTTTATGTTTAATTCATTCTTACAATATTGCTGTTTATAATTAACTCAGTTTGCTAGTAATTTTTCATTACAATATTATAAAAAAAGCATAATTTACTAAAACCTTGTAAACTGAAGAAAACGACTGAGATTATTAGTCAATTTTCCAGCCTTAACGCACCCCAGAAGTGGTTTATTAATTAATATATGAATATTTCTAGAAAAATGCCGCCGATGCATAAAATTCGTCTAATCTGTCATCATCTTCCGGTGATTTTTCCAAAAATACATCCAATCAGCACGGCATATTTTGTAAGTGCAGGTAAAATAGATAGCGTGGCAAAAATAGGGTAAGGTGTGTTAAAAATAGTGCTTCAAGGATATAAGTTAGTGAGCTAGATTGGACAGGGAGCGTCTAGTCAACCGATACATTTTCAAAATAAACAAGTACAGGAAAAATTTAAAGATATCGATTAGAATAGATACATGTTCCTGGAGAAACGATATTTCTTCTCTAAAAAATTATTTCGTAAACAATGAAATATAGTCTCCTATACAGAGGTACTAAATCATGTAAGTTATTAAAAAGTGTACATAATCCAGATCTTTTAGAGAACATGGACTTTCTGATTTTTCGCTATTATGTTCATCTGAATATTTTCAATATTTTTCTTCGTACATTAATTTGTATACTGTGGTTATTTCCACTTTGTAATTGGTTTCTGTTAAATGGTGTAGAAATAAATAAGGAAAAATAAAAAAAATATATTTTTCCATATAAGGTGATCATATGAATATTTTGATAATATTAAATAAAGACTGACATTGACTTTTTATTTCATATTATTTATTTGCAAACTTTTGAAACGTCCCGGACAATTCCTGATTTTCCGCGATTTTCCAGAAGACGAGTGTCTTCTTTTTCTACGTAGACAAAATATTCCAATTTCATTGGGATTCATTAACATAAATCAGACTAAAGAACTGGGAACAAATTATTATTCCACAATGTATATAGTCACTATAATTACAATTACAATTCAAGACGGAATGTATCTTAATTATTTTAAGCCACGCATTCCTTCAACGGGTAATTTATTGTAAACAAACAAAGCATTTACTCGAAGAAATAAGAAAATAAATAAGTAAAAGAAAAAGAAAAAAAGAACTATACGGCATTAGAATTGGCGAAAAGTGATCGATTTAAATGGTAGCGGTTCCTTTTTATCAGACAACCCGTCCTTTTTTTCTTCGTTCTGGTACAGTTTTTTCTGAAATAAACTAGCGCTGATTTATGTAAAAATGTTGTTTTGAAATGTTATAAGGGCGTCATCCGCGTCCGAAGGCTTGTATGCTTCTTTTATGTTTATGAGAGATCGCGACAAAATTAAAATACAATTCTGCATAATGGGAATGGGGCGCTCGATGCTCTTCTGTTACCAACGTGCTCGAACTGCGCTCCAAACCAGTGGCGGAACTATTTGAAAATCTTATTTATTACTACGTTTATTTCGGCGATTCCGATACGGATAGAAAATAAAGTGGCTTATAAAGATGACAAAATAAAACAATATATCGATACATTCGATATATCGAATAAAAAATATCGATATTTTAATATATCGATATATTTTTAATGAAATGTACAAAAATACATTTGTTAACAGTTAAAATATGATTTGTTTATTTAGATAAGTAATAAAACATACAATAGATTTTTTTAATATAGAGACGAACTAAACTTACATTTATGATACATTATTTGAAAGCTTTCTGAGAAGAGAAATTATAAATTTGACAATCTCTTGCCAAATAAAGGGTAACCAGCTTTCGAAAATAGTCTTCACTTAGAACAAAAGTTGCTACTGCAGAAAAATATTTTTATTAACCACTCTGGACACCGAAAATAAAATTAAAAATATGCAAATTCATACATCAAACCAAACATAAAAAATAAAACCAAGAGCCATGTGCGCGCCGGACGTGTTAGCTGCTAACGTCAATTAACGTCGCATACGCAAGAGCGCACGTTTTATAAATAATGTTTTTGATATATCGATATATTTGTGAAATATATCGATATTTACAAAACATCGATATCGATATATCGTTGCCATCCCGAGTGGCTTAATTTGAATTCAAAGTTTCGAGTAATCGAGAAGCCTTTGTAAGAAAAAAATATAAATGTAAAATTTTTGTAGACTTTGTCAGTGATGTAAAAGATATGTATGCAAAATTTCAAGAAGATTGGACAATATTTAGAGGTGCACACTTTGACCAGTTTTGTAAAAGTATGCAAAAAAAGACTTTTTAATGTTAGTTACTTTTATTGTTAAAACTATAAATCTCAAACTTAAAACTATACATTAAGATTATTAAGTAATATTATTAAGATTATTAGGTAATAGGAAAAACATGTCTTATATTATTTAACTTTGAACGATGCAATTCCTTATTTACGACTTTTCACTACCCTCAGCAAAAATTGTTTTTGTTGTTCATCTCTGACCGATTCGTTAAATTGCTTTATTAGAGCAATTCCTCGTTCTGCGGTATCATCCACTTGACTTCTTAGAGAATCACTGCAATATTCTGTTACGTTATGGATCCCAAACAATTTAAAGAACATTTCTGATTTACCAGTGATGAAATGGCTCAGGTCTTTTTCTTTAAAAGCTAAGTTTTCACCGTCTAATCGTTTTATTTCCTTTTTATTTGGAGGTTTGCTTTCTAAATGTTTAGTCATATTTTCTTTTTCAATCTGACTAATACGTTCATCCAAAAAAGCTAATCCTACGTTTGTGTCTAACAGATACACAGTAAAAGCACTTTTTTTGACGTTTATATCTGGGCAAATATTCAGAAGCTGCAGCACATCCAAATCATGTTTTGGAGCCCAGCGACTTACAATTGCTTCGTGCCAAATTGGTTTTGCCATTCACCCTGCTTGATGCAGAGCTCCTGGGATCCTAAAACTGAATTCGTCTTCCTAGGTATAGCCCAATCGGATTAGGTGAAGAACAGGCTTCAGATTCTGAAAAATTCGAAGCAGCAATTTTCCTTCGGAATTCGTTGAAGGGGGTCTCTGGTAGTCTAAATTCAAAAAGTTGGGATTCCAAAGTTGTCGTTACCTCCGCCATCTTGATTTAAAGGGTTATTTTTTGTATCTTGAATAACTCATTTATTTTCAATTTTACACGAAAAATAGTTTTTACAAAAGTTATTTAAAATTAAATTTCCTATAATTCTGCTTTTTTTTTGTACGATCGATTTTTTTCGATTTATACCCGAAAAGAGGGGGTGAATTTTTGGTTATAGAATAACTCGTTTATTTTCAATTTTACGAGAAAAATTGTTATAAACAAAGTTGTTTAAAATTAAATTTCCTACAATTCTGTTTTTTTTGTACGCTCGATTTTTTTGTATTTATCCCTGAGAAGAGTGGGGGTAAACTCTTATCATAATTGTACCAAATAACATTTTTGAAAATCAGCAAAAAAAAACAAACAGAAAAAATAATGGTACAACATCAATAATAAACGTGACAATACAATACTTAGGTTCACCCCCACTCTTCTCAGGGATAAATACAAAAAAATCGATCGTACAAAAAAAAAACAGAATTGTAGGAAATTTAATTTTAAACAACTTTGTTTATAACAATTTTTCTCGTAAAATTGAAAATAAACGAGTTATTCTATAACCAAAAATTCACCCCCTCTTTTCGGGTATAAATCGAAAAAAATCGATCGTACAAAAAAAAGCAGAATTGTAGGAAATTTAATTTTAAACAACTTTGTTTATAACAATTTTTCTCGTAAAATTGAAAATAAACGAGTTATTCTATAACCAAAAATTCACCCCCTCTTTTCGGGTATAAATCGAAAAAAATCGATCGTACAAAAAAAAAGCAGAATTGTAGGAAATTTAATTTTAAACAACTTTGTTTATAACAATTTTTCTCGTAAAATTGAAAATAAACGAGTTATTCTATAACCAAAAATTCACCCCCTCTTTTCGGGTATAAATCGAAAAAAATCGATCGTACAAAAAAAAGCAGAATTGTAGGAAATTTAATTTTAAATAACTTTTGTAAAAACTATTTTCCGTGTAAAATTGAAAATAAATGAGTTATTCAAGATACAAAAAATAACCCTTTAAATCAAGATGGCGGAGGTAACGACAATTTTGGAATCCCAACTTTTTGAATTTAGACTACCAGAGACCCCCTCCAACGAATTCCGAAGGAAAATTGCTGCTTCGAATTTTTCAGAATCTAAAATACTAATCCGATTGGGCTAGTATAAAAGTTATAGTTGTAGTAACTCTTTGTAGTCTTCTCTTGGATGACTTTCGTCTTTTAGGACATTTTGTAAGTAGTTGTTCTGCTATAAAGCCTTGAATGAGACGTTCCTCATCCAGCATTGTCGTATATGACTTTTGATCAAGTGAAGTCCACATATTTTGGAACTTTCGAAAGAACTGGATGTCAGGACCACTTGATGATATGTTACGACACTCTTCAAACACTCCTTTTAATATTACTTAAGTGTGATGACGGCAAGCCAACCACAACAATTTTCGTCCTAATTACCTTTCAATTTTGGTTCATGCCCCTTGGATCAGTCCTGTATTAGACGATGTAGTATCAAAAGATATACCGATGATATTGTCACTTAGCTCAAATCGGTGCACTTCCCGAATAACTACTTCAGTCATCTGCTCACCGGTGCCTTTCTGGGCAATAGGTACTCCAAGCGGATGCTCAAAAAAATTAATACAACATTAATTTCAATATTTACTACATCTGAGTTAGGTTAGTTTTATAGCGGTTTTTCAGAATCTTTAATTCTGAATATAAACTAATTATTTTTTTTTATATTGTGGCATTTTCAGGATAAGAACATTAAGGTTACAATATAAATCTTATGTTTATTTTGCAACCAACAAAATGTGATTTGTGGAATTCAAAATGAAACCCAAAATCTGCTGGACAGGAACAAAATAAACGTATATGTCGAATGTATAGCAATAAATTATGAAAAGTAAAAACATGTAGAGATAACAAAAATCATTCATATCAATTCTACCTAGTAAAAACACTGCAAAAAAATAAATCCACCAATCACAGTTCATATTTTTGGTCACCCGGCTACTATTATTTTTTAAATTTTATATATAAGTGACAAATCTGTCATATTGATATTAAATATACGTAGAATCGATAAATAATAGCATTTATATTTTTATTTCGTCTATATTCGACAAATCGCGAATTTTAATCAAACTATATGAAACTAATTTAATTACGAGTATCAGAACTTTATGGAGGTGCTACCAGGGCGTCTGGCTGCTATGCAAGAGGCCCGGGTTCAAATATGAGCTGGAGACTAATTAAATTAAATCTTTTATTTTATAAATTAGTAAATTTTCTAATAACCTAAAATATTTTTATAATTTGTAGATTTTAGTTAGTGGGTCCTAGCAAAAATATACTGTACAACTCGTGTGGATTATCCATATCGCACTCACATGATATGGCCATCAAATCCACTCTTTTTTTTTTAATTTGGTGTCATCGGCGTCGACTACTACGGCCATTAGCGTCGTGTTCTGTGTAGGCTTTGTTACTGTTTCCCAGCGCTACTTTAGGAACAGCATTGTTAATTAGAACCCAACAGTGAACGGTCGAGTGGGGAATCCTACCTATGCATTAGAATTAATATTTAATTTTTTTTAATTAAATAAAAATTCCTGCCACCACCGGTGGGATTCGATCCTGAGACCTTCCGATCTCAGAGTCATGACTCTAACCACTGAGCCAACCCACCCCCAAATCCACTCTTGTTGCACAAACTACTATTACGTATATTATACCTTTTTTACATAATTCTAAGATTCTAAAAATTTAACCAAGTCAAATGTCAAGTGTCAAAAGTGGTAAATAGAATGAGGATGCTGGCTAAAATTGTGTAAGGCAAATGAAGAATAGGTGTAGTATAAGTAAGGGGGAGGAAAAGAACGGGGATAACGGCATAAGACAATCCAATATAAATTTCACGGCATTTTCTCACAACATATAATTCGTCAACGCTGCTTTAAATGATAAAAATGTCACAGCACATTAGCTTTAAGCCCGATTAAAATAAAAAACTGGCCACCATATATTTTCGTAGTTTTTATTGGACAAACAGTTTGCAGTACTGATGGTACGCCGCTGGCTTGGATGCAGGACATGTTTAGTCAGGCCGAGTACATATTTGGTCCGAACTATTAGCGGATTCCTTAGCATTGTTTGAAAATTTAATATTCCGCACGCGTCCTCACATCGAGTCCGGACCGAAAAGGCACTGGCACCGAGAGCGCCGACACAAGAGCGACTGAAAATTCTACTTTGGGGCCCTCTTTCAAATTTCGGGAAACGCCGAAACGGCAGCGGCATCCGGCGGGCCCATAAATTTTGACAGATGACATTCGGAGCCGATAATTGACTGTCGTACAATGGGATTATAATAAACAAAATTTTCAAATGTCCGATTTTGGGGTCTAATTGGAACCGGGGGTTATTTTTCACCATGGCGAGAGCTCCAGAGGTATGCGTTGCAGGAATGTTTCTTCTATTTTTTTTTTTATGATCTGGACGGATTTAATAGGCCTGTTTCTAGAGATTAAAAAGTAGAGTTAAAGAAATATAGGTAATTATAGTATGGTACAAAATTAATATGGACTTTTATCAAAAGTGAATATTAAGGGATATTCAACCAATCAGTCAAATTTAAATGGCTCCAGGCCGCACAGGTTAGGTAAATTAGTTTGGTTTTTTATTTTTCTCATTTTTGTATATAATTTTTTGCGAAGCAACCCTCAACGGCTCTAGGTCGGACAGGTTAGGTAAATTAAATGAATTGTTATAAAAATAAACTTAAATAATTTACCTAACCAGTCCAAGAGCAATCAGTAAAATATAAATGGCTTCTGGCAGCACTGGTTAGGTAAAAGAGCTATTTTCTTTCCATTTTTCCTATTTTTGTATATTTTTTTTTTATAAAACAACCCTCGACTGTCTCAGGCCTTATGGGTCATGTACATTAGTTAAGTTTTTTTGATTTTTCTTATTTTTGTACTTTTTTTTGCGAATCAACCCACGGCTCTCAACCGCACAGATTAGGTAAATTTGTTAAGTTGCTTATAAAAAAAACCCAATTAATTTACCGAATTTGTGCGAGAGCAATCAGTGAATTTTAAATGACTCCTGACCGCAAAGGTTAGGCACATCAGATTTTGTAGTTTTTTAGTTTTTCACATTTTTGTATAATTTTTTTTTTTGAATCAAACCGCGTGGCTACAGGCCGTACAGGTTGGATAAATTAGTTATTTATATAAAAAAAAACTTGTCCCATCGGGAGATAACTCGACCTTACTGAAATACATCCATGGTTTTTGCGAAATAATCATGATGCTTAATTTCAATGACGATAAATAATCGTTTAACTCAGAAAATATTAAAAAAATTGTTAAAAGAGACAGCTATCTTTTGAGATTATCGAAAAATTTGTCATTAGGTAATAATTTGACTATAGTCGCTGAGTTTAGTGTCCTTGGTATTACGGATTAGACGGACGGTTGCATGGTATCATTTGATATTTTTTATATTTTACTATTTTTAATGTTGATTTTCGATATATTGTCCTTTCGATCTAATTAATTTTAGATCTATTGTTTATTCTATAAAATGTTATTCGATAAAATGTATCTTCGATCAAATGTTATTCGATAAAATGTATTTTCGATCAAAGGTTATTCGATAAAATATATTTTCGATCAAATTTCATATTCGATCAAATGTTTTTCGAATAATTTTGTGCCACCCACAAGCCTCTAAAGGTTATTTACTTTATTACAAAGATATAAATCTAAAGTTTTTGTTTATGTACTTAT